TCCTTCCTGTTGCGTTGGATTTCCCCAATAATTATTAAATTTCCATAAATGATCCCAGAATTTCCAACCCCAACGATTCCCTTGGTTTGTCCCTCCAATAAATATTAAATTTCCATAAATGATCCCAGAATTTCCAACCCCAGCGATTCCCTTGGTTTGTCCCCATTTTTCTGTGTCTCCAAGAGGAGTTTCCATCCCTTCCTTCTCCTCTCCTCTCCCTCCTTCCTCTCCTCTCCCTCCTTCCTGTTGTGTTGGATTTCTCCAATAAATATTAAATTTCCATAAATCATCCCAACATTGCCAATCCCAATCATTCCCTTGGTTTTTCTCTGTTCTTCTTCACCAAAATGAAGATTTACAAACCAATAGGCACCAAATATTTAAATAATAAAATTAGATTTAATTAAATCCATCACTGATCCATACCAATAATCCCAAACTTGACCTTGGAGTCTTCCAGAATCTCAAACTCAGCGGGAAACTGAGTTTTCACTTTTTTCATCAGAACTTGGTTAAAACTGACCCAAACCTTCAATATTCGGCACTTAGACCAAATTATTCTAAGGAAAATGAGTTGTGCCCATAATATCCTGCAGATTTCCATATTTTCCCCGTCTTTCTGGATTTGGGATCAAATTTATTTTCAAATTTGGATCTAGATTTGAGTCAAGCTTGGAATTTGGATCAAATCTGCAACTCCAAAATGAGCTTTTCCCATGGTCAGCACCCCAAATTCCTGCCAGGAGAAATGTCCCCCTCTTCTCTCTCACTCCCATTTGTGTTCCTCAGGAGCTTCCTAAATTCCTAAATCAGGGATTTTGATCCGGGGATTTTGTTTTCCGTGCAGGGGAGAGGCTGACTGAGGAGGAAGTGGATAAATTGATGGCTGGGCAGGAAGATGCCAACGGCTGCATCAACTACGAAGGTGGGTGGGACCCCTGAAACCCTTCCTAAAATATTCCCAAGAAAGTTTAAATCCATGGGAAAATCTGGGGCGAAATTTCCAAATTTTTAGACAATTCTGGCTCCGTAACTTTTCTGATAAACCCCACCTATGGAAGGTTAATTATGTTTCCCATAGGATAACTGATCCTTTTTTCCCTCTTTTTTTCCAGCTTTTGTGAAACACATCATGGCTAACTGAGCCCAGGTGAGTCTGCCCTTCTCCTGGATTTCCAAGTCCTCGTTCCTTTAGGATTGACTGGAAACTTCCAAGAAAAAAAATATTTTTCCACGCGCATTTACAAATCCCTGCTCCCAAATTCCTAAAAACACAAGGAAACAGAATTGAGCTGACAAGAGAGGGGGAAAAAATAAAAGTAAAATAGATAAGAAGGAATGAGGAATGTTTTCACTCCTGGCAGTATAATTAGTGGTTTTCCATAAATCTTGCTCCCACCATCTCCTGACAACGGATTGGAAATCCATGAGAAAATCTGGGGCGAAATTTCCAAATTTTTAGACAATTCTGACTCAGTAACTTTTCTGATAAACCCCACCTATGGAAGGTTAATTATGTTTCCCGTGGGATAACTGATCTTTTTTTCCAGCTTTTGTGAAACACATCATGGCTAACTGAGCCCAGGTGAGTCTCCTCTGCCCTTCTCCTGCATTTCCAAGTCCTCGTTCCTTTAGGATTGACTGGAAACTTCCAAGAAAAAAATATTTTTCCACGTGCATTTACAAATCCCTGCTCCCAAATTCCTAAAAACACAAGGAAACAGAATTGAGCTGACAAGAAAGGGGGAAAAATAAAAGTAAAATAGATAAGAAGGAATGAGGAATGCTTACACCCCTGGCAGTATAATTAGTGGTTTTCCAGAAATCTTGCTCCCACCATCTCCTGACAAGGGATTGGTTTTCCGGGAAAAGCTTTGTCCCACACATCCAAACCACAGCACCACCGAGGGCATCTCTNAAATATTCCCAAGAAAGTTTAAATCCATGGGAAAATCTGGGGCGAAATTTCCAAAGTTTTAGACAATTCTGGCTCCGTAACTTTTCTGATAAACCCCACCTATGAAAGGTTAATTATGTTTGCCATAGGATAACTGATCCTTTTTTCCCTCTTTTTTCCAGCTTTTGTGAAACACATCATGGCGAACTGAGCCCAGGTGAGTCTCCTCTGCCCTTCTCCTGGATTTCCAAGTCCTCATTCCTTTAGGATTGACTGGAAACTTCCAAGAAAAAAAATATTTTTCCACGTGCATTTACAAATCCCTGCTCCCAAATTCCTAAAAACACAAGGAAATAGAACTGAGCTGACAAGAGAGGGGGAAAAAATAAAAGTAAATTAGATAAGAAGGAATGAGGAATGTTCTCAGCCCTGGCAGTATAATCAGTGGTTTTCCATAAATCTTGCTCCCACCATCTCCTGACAACGGATTGGAAATCCATGGGAAAATCTGGGGCGAAATTTCCAAATTTTTAGACAATTCTGACTCTGTAACTTTTCTGATAAACCCCACCTATGAAAGGCTAATTATGTTTCCCGTAGGATAACTGATCTTTTTTTCCAGCTTTTGTGAAACACATCATGGCCAACTGAGCCCAGGTGAGTCTCCTCTGCCCTTCTCCTGGATTTCCAAGTCCTCGTTCCTTTAGGATTGACTGGAAACTTCCAAGAAAAAAAATATTTTTCCACGTGCATTTACAAATCCCTGCTCCCAAATTCCTGAAAACACAAGGGAACAGAACTGAGCTGACAAGAGAGGGGGAAAAAATTAAAGTAAAATAGATAAGAAGGAATGAGGAATGCTTACACCCCTGGCAGTATAATTAGTGGTTTTCCATAAATCTTGCTCCCACCATCTCCTGACAAGGGATTGGAAATCCATGGGAAAATCTGGGGCGAAATTTCCAAATTTTAGACAATTCTGACTCCGTAACTTTTCTGATAAACCCCACCTATGGAAGGTTAATTATGTTTCCCATAGGATAACTGATCCTTTTTTCCCTCCTTTTTTTCCAGCTTTTGTGAAACACATCATAGCAGAATTGAGCTGACAAGAGAGGGGGAAAAAAATAAAAGTAAAATAGATAAGAAGGAATGAGGAATGTTCTCAGCCCTGGCAGTATAATTAGTGGTTTTCCATAAATCTTGCTCCCACCATCTCCTGACAAGGGATTGG